CTTATATTGATAGTTCTTAGAGACATGATGAACCACATTTTATGTTCCCATGAACCAAGGGCTGATTGAGGCCCAGTTTAACATAAGCACCATTTTATGAGAGTTACCATAGTGACCAGGTTCCAGTTATCAACTTGAACAATTTCATATATGATTAATGTTAATTGCTCATTTTGCATGGATGACTTTTTCCCAGTTGCTGAATTGATTGTTGCTTCCTTTGATCTGGTTGGGAATACAATCCAGTGCAATAGTTAGATAAGTGATCAGTTGCCAACACTGAAAGAAGATGGATTCAGGTTGCTATAAGGTCAGAGTTTATTTTTCTTCATAAACACTAAAAGGTCAGGTAGAGTTTAACTACCTTTGGCATGCTTGAAATGTTGTAATAAATGTCAGACCTAAGAGATTATTATTAATCCACGATGCAATTAAAAGTCTTACTGTTCTGGCAAATTAAAAAAAAAAAAAAAAGATTCTTATTTAGTTTAACAAGCACACTGAAAGTCAGAGTAGCACTTTCAGTCAGGTAAACAACACCTTCAAGGCTAACGTCATTCTTGGTTTTCATGGCTTCTAATGTAAGTAAAGAGAAAAAAAAGACACATTCAGAGGCTATTAAGGGATTATAAATATCAGCGATAGCTCTGGAAAGGAAACCCTAGGTCATTGTTAACAGCTCCCACTTCAGGAATCTAATTGCAGTGGTCCTTACAAGATGATGCTCATACCACCTTTAGGTGATATTATATCTTTAGCAATTTGCTCAGTTTGTCCCAGAACGTTACATGTGTTTTTTTTAAATAGTAAGCCAACCTTTCATTGAAGAGGATTACATGACTTATGACTCCTTACTAAATCATATCTGACCATATGATTTATATTACATAGTTTGAAGGCTCATGGCATGACTAATGAATGTATTAACAAGACTTCTTTTCTTTGAAACAACAAAATCACTGACCTTACTAAGTTGCTTACTCTTTGATTTATATGTGAATGGCTGATAACATGAAATAAAAATAATTCCAACAGTGAAATTTCATAATCTTAATGAGCTAAGTATCAGCTACTTTATCTATTACAACTTCAAGTAAGTATATCATAGAATGCACCATATCTTGCTGACACCAGAAGACTTACTGAATTTCCCTCTTAGGGAACTGCCAGCTCTATAAAGTGTATAAACTGCAAGGTAATGCTCTGATGGTAATTCACTTCAACTGCAGAAATATGAAATACTGTTGATATATATTTCAAGTTGTGTTATTATTTTATTTCCTCTAAAGAAGCTTATGGAATGAAGGGTAAAATACATATCAAGATAAATTTTGCTAAAAGGTGCCCTGGGCTCAGAGAAAATTGTGATTTTTTTGGAATAATTTTCCACCAAACCACCTATAAATATTACCCCTAATGTTGATTTCATAAAGCTGAATCTTTCAAACATTTAGCTGAACTATTTAATGAAAGTTTTGCTATTTTAGGGGGTTATTTGCCATGTACTTTAACAACTTTCATTTGTGGTGTTTATGGCTGATAATCCACTGAGCTGTTTGTATGGGAACATTAAGAAAAGATCTGTTTTATTTTACAGAGTACAAATAACCTTGCAATTAAACTGAAAACAAATAATTGCCAACAAGTAATTATCATTCAATTAAAGAGTAATTACATGGTTATTTGTAGCCTGTAAAAAAAAGCATTATTGAAATCAGTAATGCAATCAATATTTTAGCAGAAACAGGATGCTGCAATGATGGACCTTTCAACCTATGCTGATTAAATTGTCATACAAATAATAGTTTCCTAGTTAAATCACCACATGTTTATTTGTCTTGATTAATATGTAAATCTGCCTGATGCTAATAAATATTTTAAAGATAAGAAGTATGGCAGGATCATCTATCAAAAATGATCTTTACCAACTTTCTACAGAGTCCTCTATAATCTTTCATCATGTTGTCAGGCTTGTGTTATTTGAAAGAAAATGCAGAAACTTTAGTGGTAGGAGCGTCTTACTATAGAGGATCATTAGGTCTAAAAGTAAAAATAAAGCTATCTTACATTACTATGGGGCTCTATTGATTATAAAGCACTCTCACAAACTTAAATTTAAATCATTTACTCTAGAGCTCCAAGTCTTCTTTCCAAGAGTAAAAACAAAGGAATCTGAATGTGATTTTTGCTCTCTAATAAGTTTAAACAAGTTTGGAAGTAGATATAAAATGATCATACTCATTAAAGAGTTAATCATAAAATTTAAATAACGTGTCAGACATATCTCTACCATAAGCTCCTCAAAGGCAGAGGGTGTTCTAAGTTCTCACAATATATCAAAGAATAAACAAAACAAACCACTGACCTTGTCAAGCTCATATTTTAACCTTTTGTGACTCTGATACCTAGTTCCAGTTCCAGACATACACTGAACTGCATGTTCTTTTATTGGATAATTGAATAAGTGCACATGCATAACTCCAGAGATTTTGAGTCCATGAGTGAATCTTGAAGCTTGTTAGACACCTCAGACATAAGATAGTGTCCTCTACTCTTCCTTAACTTTGTATGTAGTCAGATTTGAATGGATCATATTTTGAAGGTCCTGTAATTTCTGTAGGGTCTAAGACTTAAAAAATGATTATCTGCTAATTAAATGATGCAGCTGGCATGTGATTCATGTGGTTAAGGAGAATAGGACAATCTAAGGAATATTTGGAAATTATAGCAACGGTAAAATATTTCCTGTCATTATTAATGAACTGATTTAATTAATCATTTATTGTACCTTACTGTGTGCTAGGCACCATGAAAATTGCTCAGGACACAGTGACAAATAAAATCAGACATATATTCTACTTCCATGGAACTTACATTCTAATTGGAGAGACACTATCGCACCAACATCATAAACTTATAAACTAAAAAGAATATTAGGATGGAGAATATGATTCTCCCAGTTTATAGAATGTGTAGGAAATAATACCAAGCCATTGTGACATAAGTCATGAATTCTCCAATATTGATCTGATGGTTGGAAACTTGATCAGTTTTTTCAAATCTTGGAATTTAAGGTAGAACTACCAGACTAAAAGGCCTTTAATGCCTTCCAAACCTGAATCAGCTTATTCAAAAAATAACTACTTTTAATTGTGAGATTGACCAAGAAATTTGGAACAGAACTAGTTAAACCTTTTAGCTTTCAAAGTATAGATCAACAGCTGGCTCATCATATGGAAGTAGAGGGAGCATTAGGCTGCTTACTTCTGGAAGGAGCATGTCTGAAAGTGATCATAAGCATGAAGACAGCACTGAAATGTTTACATTGGAAAAGTACAGAATAATTAGGTGGGCTCGAATAAAATTAGTAGGCTAGAGTTCTGACAAATGGAAAAACACAAAGAAGCACTTAAATAGTAGTATAGATTTGATAAAGATTATTCAACAAGATAACTGGCCTTTTTCTTCTTCTAATGACTGGATATATCCTGATGAAGATCGTTCAGTGATCTTGGGATCCTTTAGGACATTTGAAGTAAATAGCTATTTTCCTTATCATTATTCTTCAAAAGAGTTAGGAAGCCATAAAAGAAAGCAAGGGCATACAGGATAACAACACTGAATAAAATAAAATAAATTATAGCCCAGAATCAAGTAGAAAGGAGAAGAGAGTCGGTTTATAAAATTGAAACATTAAATGAGAAAAACAGAATATTTCATGCTAGGTTGATATACGATATTGACGTACAATGAAAGAAAATAACACCATCAGTGTATGAAAAATGAACTGGATAATGGTACCTCTGTGTAAGGTTGCTAGAAGTCGTCTTCATTTAAGAGCAGAGTTTGTCTTACATTGATGGAGCATTTTGCTACTGCAAAGTTGATAGAGTGAGGTTTAACTTAAATTTTTTTGTGAACCAAAAGTCATTTTTGGAAATGTTCTCTATCTGAACCTCATACATTTTTGTGGCTTGGGTTATTTAATATAGTATTTTGTAGTATTTTGTCAAAAGCCCTATTATTCAGCTTTATAAACTGCATTTCTACTAAAAAAAGCAACAGCAATATTTTAGGCAAAGAAGAAAGCAATATTTGAAATATATTGGGGGACTCTAGAATGACTTGATCCTAATGTTTGATGACTTATGTACCTCTTCATTGTGGTGACAACCTCAAAATGATGTATTCAGTACACTGACTGTATTAGGGTATAAGATAGAGACCAGATACTGACTTTCTATTTCATTATTTTATGTATTAATATTTGCAACTGTAATTCCTGAACTGTACACATCAGGGTGAAGAATGTACAAATGGAATGGGTTAGGTTAATGTTATAAATTTAGCCTCAACTCATCAGTTAAAAACACCAATCAATCTGAGAAAAGACAGCCTAGATTGTAAAGGTGGCAGGTTAAATTAGTACAGCCTCTCCAAGAAAGTGCACTGCTGGTTAAACAGCCTGGTTTAAAAAATAGGTAGGAAAAAACCTATTGGCACGAGTCCTTTGTTCGTTGTAGGCTTCTGGCAGCTGTGGAAATGCTAATAAGCATAAGGTCTTACTCCACATCTCTCATCTCTTTACTCCTAATTTCTGCCATGCTGGGTAGAGACTTAATCACTTCACATTCTGTACAATTTTAATTCTGTGAGTCACTATCTCAGATCTCAGTAGCAGGTATCAAGTGTAGCTTTGACTGCAAGGGATAATTTTGGTTTCTCACAACAGGTAAGCTGTATTGCAAAGTGTTGGCTTATAAATGGAATCTAAACTTGAAATTGATCTTTTGTGGTTTTAATGTTTGCTGTAACTATGTTGCAAAATTTAGTGGAAAGGAAAATATTCATCTTTTAGTAATCAATGGACATAGTCTTTGATATAAAATTCTAACACTGTTGGCAATTAAACGAGATTTAGCAGGTGAATGTAGCAAGTGATGGTATTTCCAAAAAGAGTACATTTTTAACCTGATATTTGTTTGTCTGTTTTTCAACAGTTCAAGGCCGGGCAGGCCTCCTAAACGTTCTCTGGGAGTGTTGCAGGACAATGCTCGCCTTTTGCCTCATTCAGTCCCAGGCCTCTTATCACCAGGACTTATCACTCCAACAGGTAATAAAATTCATTCGATGATCAACCTTGTCTCTTTATACTGCCCACCATTTGAAATAAACTAATATTGATCTAACTGCCTTGTCCTTCAGAGCTTTTCAAGCTCTACTAGAGGTTACATTATTGAATTTTTTGAGTATTCATGAAAGCAATTTTGTTACTCAAGTGACTCAAATCAAATGGACATGACTTTAAAAAAATAATTGTAATTTTCTTGCAGTAAATCCCTTTCAAGGCCTTATTTTGAGTGTGTATATATGTTTTTATGTGTTACGGGCAGGAATCAAAGGATGCAGGTATGGATATATAGTTTTATGTGTTACGGGCTGGCCAAACTAGCATTGTCTCAAGGCCTCCTATAAGAGGCATCACACCTACTTACTTATATTTGTCAGTAATATTCTTTTTGTTTTCAAGGGTTCTGGGCACCTGTGTATCTTTCCAAGTTATTACTCTCAGTTAAAGAATAGAAAGAAGATACATTCCTTATGATTAGAAAAGAAGAAAGTGCAAGTGGTCATTATCTTAAATAATAATCCATTGCTTTCCCTTGAACAATGCGATAAACAGTGCTCTCCTAAAAATATGTCTCATAAATAAGCATTGAATTTTTTGGATTCTCTAAAAAAGAACCTAAAAGTGCAAAAAACACTTAGACTTAACATTTCTCTAGTTGAAACTTTAAAAATCATTAAAGGTATTACATGGTAGAAAATGACTTCAATAACAATGAGATCTTTATAAATTCAATGATATAATAATTTATAAAGCACCTACTGTGTTTGGGGTATTAGATCTTAGACAATGCAAAATTATATGAGTAGTAGTCCTTGTCACAGAAAAATTAAGGAGAATGATATGTAAACTAATAATTGCATTAAAGTATGATAGAGATTATAATACAAGTACATGCAAGTACTATAAGATCACAGAGATGGGGAGCAACTAAATCAATTTGCTAAATTGGTTAATGCTCAGGGAGATGGAAACTTTGGAGCTATCTCTTATAGACTGTTAGACAAATGAGGAATTGGGGAAAATAGTACAGGCAGAGAGAAGACTATATAGACAGATATACACTGGTGAAAAATAGCCTAGTGTGATAGGGGGTATGACAATTAAATTGAAGATACTGAAGCAGAGATTTGAGGTCAGAGACTCATAGGAGTTTTGGTTAGAATATGGTGGGGAAAGACATCTTGTGAAGCTGGTTTTTTATTTATTGTGTTTAGCCAGTGGTTTCCAAAGTGTTTTTTAAGAATTTTTTTACTGGCTGATATGGAATTGAGGAATAATTTCCAGGTTCCCCACTTCTGCCTCAGTTAGAATTTACATTTCCTAATTCACATAGGATTTTGTTTAAAATTTAAAAAGCTGCTGTAGGTAAAAGGAACCACTGCTAAGTAACTAAGCAAATGTTCTACAAACAATTGCTGTGGAGGGTAAATAACAATAAAGGGAAGGAGGGTCAGTTGCTCCAGTTCAAGGGAGAAATACTGAGACCTGAACTAAGGAAAATTCAATGGAGTGGAAAAAGGTTCAGAGTCATTTAATAATTAACATTAATTATACTTGATAATTAATCAAAATATAGAGTAAGAGAATGAAGTCTAGGATGCTTCATGTCTAGCATGGGTGATGAGCTGGATAATGATGTCATTAGCTAAGATGGAGAATTTAGGAAGAAACTGGGCCTTTGGAGTTAGATAATGATTTTTGTAGACTTTAAGTAGTTACAAACATATTCTAATACAAGAAAAAGTAGTCCTGTGTGTATAAATTAATATAGAGGGGATAACAGTGCCTGGATATATCTTGGTGTTCAATAAATGATAATCTATTTCTTGTATTCTAAAATACATTGACGGAGACTAGAAATAGTACCCTGTAAATAATCAGATCTGTGTCCAGATTTTGAGGGAGCATGTACATTAAAGAAAAAAAAAGAATTTTAAAATTGCCTTGAAGCTAATGTACTCTTGAGTAAACTTTAGTACCTTATCTGTTGAAGAAAACCTGTAATGCATATTAACTTCATATTATGTACCAGGCATGGGTGCTAAGTGTTTTCTATACACTTTATTTAATTTCCATAGTAGCCTTATAATATTGTCTTCATTTTTCAGGTAAAAAATTTATAGCTTGGTAAGTTTAATTGCTTAGGGTTACAAAGCAATTGAGTGGCATTACTGGGTTTCAAACCCAGGTCGTTTAGACTTCAGAGCCTATATTCCTTCCTCATCAGCATGATGTCTTATAGTGCATGAGAAAATTCAGTGTGAGTTTCCATTTCTTCTTAATTTACTTGATATATATGCTTCACCTCCTACCAGATAATTGAGCCTCTTTCTTTGGATTACAGTATTGGCCTTCCCTCCTACGATTTGGATCTATCATTATGAAAGTCATTGAAACAAAAATCTTAATTTTTAACTCTTTGTGCCTAGAATGAAATGATAGAGACAGATAAGGCATTGAGTGGGGAAAGGCATGAACACTTCTGTCTAAATGGCAGACAGAAAAAAATGTTAAGCAGCAGGAGGAGGAGGAATCTGCACAGATCTACAGTAATTCCTTTCCTTAGTTTAGTTTACATGAATTTATTTTACATGTCCAAGAATGTCTTATTCACTTATGGTCGAATATAAGAAGAGAAATGCTCTGTAAAGCCAAGTAGAAATAATTCTGGGATTATGCATTATTTTGGATTAAACACACCACTTTACTCCTGCTTTAGCCAAGATAATTGAATTAGAATCAATTCTCAATTTAGCTACCAGCGAGTTTCATATTTGACATTATATTTGACATATTTGACATTACCATACATTACAAACTTCACTTTCATTAACTTTATTTAAAAAAAAATTCTTTTGAAGAACTTGGTTGATATTTTTAATATAGTTATAACAGGTTGAGAATTATTCTTTTTTTTCAAATGATTATTGAAATGTTTTACAATGCTTTCCAGTTTTAGGTCCTTATGTTTCAAAATTTTTTTTTAAAGAAAGAAATAATTATTCAGCTATGTATATTTTTACATAAAACTGGCAAATTAGTTAGTGAAAATAGTCTACTGCTGCCTTCCGTTTCAATGTCACATGTGTGGGGCAGCCCCTTTGAATCCTGCTAAGTTTGCCTAAGTAATGAAACTTGTTATTTCTTTTCATTTATAACTTGAAAATGGGATATAATGTAACAGAGTAGAATAATCATGATGTCTCTTTTAAGATATTGTGATGTTTTTGTATATAATTTTGTCTTTAAATTGTTGTTTTCTCCCTAGCAATTACAAGCAAAAAATGCAAGTGAAAGCTATGCTAAAGTCTCTAGTATTAATAAACATATATTTTTTAGCAAATTAAAACTATAAACAAGAAATGTATGTGTGTGTATGTGAGAATGTGTTCATGGGTGTGAGGTCATTAAAATACTTGAAGGTTTTAAATGTACTTAGGTATCTAAAAATTACTTTAGCAAACTCTTGTTTCTATATAAATTATCAACATACTAATTACTTATGATAAGTCTTATTCACTAAGATAAAACTCATAAGATCTCTTTTTGCCAATATTCTTTGATATTCATTTAGATATTATATCTATGTAACTATGGACAGAGTTATATAATATCTATACCATCTATTTCTACCTATAGATAAATATATATATTTATTCATTCTTTTCATTTAACATACATTTATTGAACATCTATTCTGCATCAAACATGAGAAAATAATTACAACACATTAATATAAGTCATTTTATAAGTCATAGTTTTTCCAAATTCCATTCAGCATTTTCTCTATTTATTGCAAAATGATGAAGTTTGATTGTGTTTTCCTTCATATATTGAACTGCTGATATTCTCATTTTCATGTTTCTGTCTCTGTTCCTGTTGTATAATCCATATCTTAATTCCTTGATTTCACAATAATACATAATACCTTTTTATAGTATTTTCTGTAAAATCATTTGGGCTATATGGAGGAAAAATGGAGGGAATATCCTCCGCATCTTTCTCCGCAGCTTTGCAGAAATGCTAATATCCCTGGATCACATAGAAAGGATGGATTAGTCATGTGTACCTTTGAATTTCCCAAAAGATGACTGCTCCCCTTTCCTCAGCTTGTGAAGCATTTCGAATAGCCAGATGTGGAATTTGGCCTGAGAGAGATTTAAACTGACAGCTTACAAGGAAGTAATAAAGTGCTTCAGATAAAATTCCTGTAGCATTCATTCCTTAAAAAGTAGAGAACTCTTTAACTGTTTTTTTTGTTTGTTTGTTTGTTTTTCATCAAGCTCTATTATGACAAAATATTTTTAAGAATTTCAACTGTTATCCAAGTCCCTGGGTAACTGAGCCCATGAAGATCCATTACATTAAAGTAGCTACAACACTCAATTCGGGATTGGCAGAGCCACAAGTAGAATCCTGCCAAGTTTTGGTAGTGTGATGTCAATTTCATGATACAATATAATGCCAATTAGCTTCATTACATCATTGAAATCAGTGTGCTCCTTTCTTTTCACGATGCATTTCATATTCTCAGTTAATTTGGATGCTAAGAAGTAGTCATAAAGAAGACAGAAAGCTCTTAAGCCATTCTTTTGCGAATGTTAAAAGGAGAGATCAATTTAGAAAAAAAACAAACAAATCTTCTCGATGATTGTCTTAAAACATTTCTGTTTCTATGACTGTCTTTGGGTTTTTCAATGAGCAATATTGTAAAACATGCTTCATGTCACACAAATGGTAACTGCTTTTATGTCATTGAATTTTATTTAAGTTATTTCTTTCATGCTCAGGAAGAACCATAGGCCTAATAGAAGCCAGAAGTTGAATTACTGATATTTTCTACCATAGAGAGGAGTTTAGACTAACATGCAATTACATTTCCTCTACTAATAAAAAGCATAACTATATCAGTTTAATAACAAGAACTCCACTTATTACATTAGTTGGATTAATTGGGTTTCCCGAATGCCAATTTCTGTGTT